TATCTTTACAAGCTCTGAAAAAACGAATGGCCAACGAACTTTATAGACACCTGTTGGAATCGCGGGGGGGAGGTCAGTCCAGCTGATGCTGGTTGAACGTTGGGCTCAAAACCCCAAGTTCCCGAACAGTCCCACGTATTCCGCGGTTTCGTGAACAGCCGTGGGTGCTATATAACTGTCACTGGGTAGTTTCAATTACATAACAGATCACTCTTCGTAGCTAACCTTTTCAAACAATATATGTACAAATTCCTGGATGGCGAAGCCAACCAGAGCATAAAATGAGCCAGAATCTACGCGACTAGATCCTGACACTCAACCAAGCAAAGGAAAGGGTATTAACCCACAAATATCCTGCCATCTAGGATGTTGGACAACTCTTTACACAAAGACGTCCAACCATCCTCTACCTTTTGTCAAACCAAAAGGGAACGACCATTGCGCTAAACCACGCCTAGGCCAACGTGCATCTGTAGCCGTATCGTACGCACTACTGCACATCCACACAGGGAAAGATCCGCTCTTCACCGAGTGAGGAGAATGAAGCTCGCATCGTCGCGACACTTCCCTTGAGCCAGGGGGAGCCCTCTACCACGTAGAGTCCATCACCAAGTCGTTCACGACGACGTTGGGAAACTCCCCTCCCGATTCCGGGAGAGACCGATCTGCTCACCTTCCGTGAGCTCGGCAAAACTCCAGACTGACTGATCAGCTCGATCAGCCAACGGATCGACAGTAGATGGGGCGTGGCCACAGTTTATGGTCTCGTGAGAGAACCACAAGTACCTAAGGATACACCTAGGGATATCACCAGATGCATCCATTTTACGACCTGTCCTTAGGTACTTACATCATTGCCACGGCCCCATCTCAATCCGAGATGTTACACATAAGTTATCCGAACTTAAAAGATTGGAAACTGAGTTCCAATTCCCATATACAACACACCCTAATATTATTCGGTAGTGTGCTATGCATCATAGCCAGCGATTACCGCGCGTGCTCCGAGCAAGTTATGACCCGGTTGGGTTCACATAAGAGAAAAGAGTTTTTTCATTGCCTCGGATATCAAAACAGCAGTTGTGAGTACGGTGAGTTATGAGTTTTTACATAAGACGCCCTGCATGGACTAGATGATTGGATTCCAATTCAGAGCAAGAGGGTTTGGCAAGAGATGAGAAGATGTTTCAGTATTTTCTTCCTCCTCACATATCACAGTCGTATCTATCCTTGCACATTCCTAGCTACTTAGCATTCGGTCAAATTTGTTGTGGTGATGCAGAGCGACGGGGTCTTTTCGTTTTGAAACAACACGTTCCATGAAAAGACGATGGTTTAGGTTTCTGATTTCTACCAAAAGGGATCAAGGATTTCATCATCATCCTTGGAAACACTCTAAGTGCCATCAGCTTATATACTAGTTTTTATGTTATTTTACCACCGAATCCCCTCAAACATAGGACACTTGCTTTTTTTATGTCTTGATGTCAGATGACAAATGAGTTGCAGTAAATGAAGAATAATTCTCAACTAGACCAACAAATGAGCCGACAATTCAAACCACCACTATGAACAAGTGGCATATGGTGTTCCTTTTCATGTCAACATATTCAGTTCATAACTATTTATTTGATCAGAAGTAACGAGAAACGAAAATTGTCGAGGTGAAACCCAGGCGCCTCCCAGGCGAACGAATAAATAATAGCTCACAATACTGCAGAGTGACACACGAAACACACCATTGCACTTCCATTTTGTGCCGCTTGAGCCACTGCTTGGCCTGATTCAACAGAATGTATATTGTAGTTCGCTGCGGACGGTTGGGTGTGTCAGGCGGGATGGGTTTGGCGTTGTGCTAAACCCGTTCTAGACTTCTTGTTAAAGCGAGCAATTGTTATAATTGTATGATCGGTCGTTTTACTCGTTTTCGCCACTTTTTGTCGCATGCGCGCTTCAACAAGAAGGCAGAGAACGGCTTTGACGGCGTGACGCACTCTGTTGCCTGACACGCCCAACCTCCGCAGCGAACCAGAGGATACTTCACACTTATAAGTCCCAATAGTTGCTGATGCATTGCTCCATGCCTTAAAGAATGCACAAGGTGAGCTGAGTGAATTGATATCGTGTGATAACGTGCTGATTTGCTCTGAATTCGACAGACGATAACAAACTCGGGGGTGGTTCATTTTTCGAGTATCTTGTGCTGATATGGGCGACTTCAAATTGCAGCTCGAACCTGCCGATAAAATCATCTTCAGCGGTAAAAAACTTGGTGAGGAAGCGGCACAGGCGAGTATTAAGATCACTAACTCGCTGAAAGAGAGAGTAGCATACAAGGTAGGTCAGGCCTCTGTCTTGATCCCTTCAGGTCTTTAAGGAAGCAATTGTATTGCTCCTACTAGGTAAAATGCACATCAAACGAAATGTTTCGAATTCGGCCACCTGTTGGAGCTCTTAAACCAGACGATAGCGTCACTGTTTCGGTAAGTATGATCAGCTACTCCGAAATACAAATATTGCTTTAGAGTGAGTTATGCAGAAAGACAATTTAGGAGTAACGGCAGTGATTGATTATGCACCTTAATGATGCCTGGTTGACCCAACCTCTCTTCTCTTCGAGAAACTCGCTACCAGCGTTGCATTTCACGGCCTTGCTCATCTGTGCTTGTGCGCGCTCAATCCAAGAACTGCAGATCTTGCGCCCGGATGAGAGATGGCGGGAACTACCTGAACCATCAGTCTGTATCAAATACAGCGCTAACTCCGCTGGAGAAACACCACGAGAATGCAATGCGGTTCCCTATAATGCTTTGGCACAATTGAATATAGTGGCTACGACCACTTCGGGTAGCTGGGAAACAGTGGATAAAGAAAATAAAGAGTAGATGAACCTGAGGAAGTGATAAGATACGCGTTCATTATTTCATCAACATGAGTTCGCCCGGTTTTCCCTAGCTTTATTCAACGCTATCATCACTGAGACAGCTTACGATTACTCCCCTAATCGATGTAATTGACGTTTCCGGTGACCATCTAGGTACAGATATAGGCTAAATACGTAATTGACGAAACGCAGCTAATCGATGACTGTGCTCAAGAGAATAGATGCTTACTGGTCGATTATGGCAACGTGGTAACAAGGGAATCAGGACCAAGTACCGATCTAAAGCAGAATCTAGATCAATTGATCTTGCAGTCCCATTCATTCTGCGCATACCTTGCGACCACGTCATCGACATCGACGTAAAAGACGCTCTCGGCGATGCTGCGTAGGTGTGGTACGTATCGACCCGACCAAGTCGCCATAACCGAAGTAATCGACGTTTTCGACATCAGATCGATACGTATTTAATCTTGTGAGCGTAATTGTCGGTTGCGTCGGATCGATACGTATTTTATCTTCGCAGAAAGTCGCTGAAAACGGTGATGCAACCGTAAGAAGTAAGCGCAGCCCAACGTAGTGTTACGACTACGATATCCTTCCTATCAAAGAACAGGACCCACCTTTGTACATCAGCAGTCATTCCATAAAGTGTGTGGCACATTGAGTTTGATGTACGGCAGGGGGACGATGTCAAAAACGACGGTAGGCGTTGAGCGCGCCCCTCGTCCCGGCCCATTTTGGATGCCGCCACATGTGCATTGCGCGCGACGCAGTTAACGTAAGTTTCGCGAAGGAATAGTTGTTCACGCCGTCCGATCAGTATTCGTTTGGCAAGACGCTTGTCTTAAAGGCAGCGTCCGCGTTCAGTTGAGATTTTCCTCTCCCTTCGTGAGCAGGTAGTCAGGTCCGCTGAGGCAACAACTACACCACTTTCGCGGCGCAAAAACGCGTGAGGAGAGCCACGATGCCGTCGTTCTTATCATTGACCCAACCTACAATCATTGGCACCGCCCACCATTCATTTCTAATGGTTATCTGATGGTGCGGTTGTTTCGCTGCTGCTTCTCTCCACGTCGAGTGGTGAGAGTGAGGTGATAAGGGAAAACAGCTGATATCAACAAGTGAGAACTCGTGCGAACCGCACCTTCTCTTCGCCTTGAGCACGTGACAACCATGAATTGAGCAAGGAGTTCCTAGCTATAGAGCATTTCCTATGATTTCTTAACTGCCAACTTCCAATTTCTTCACTAAGGGGTTACCTTTTGGCTAAATTTGCTATAAATATTTGGAGGCTGCATATTCATCAAAATTTGAAATGCGGGCTCACCACATTAAAGACTCAGTAGGCCCGAGGCACCATTATCGCATCACATCCCCAGTGCAAGGGAGCAGAGTACCGAGGGAAGCCGACGTTGTGGCCTAAAATTGTCTAAAAGTGGGCTACTGTCACATCCGGGATACTATCGGGCGCCAGGGGCTTATACTGCTAGACTCAGGGTGGCGACAGGGCAACAAATATTATCTCTTAGTGAGTATAGGGCTGTAATGAGTACAAGAATTACTACTACTGCTGCTGCTGCTTGTCTGTGAGTGTTGGGGGTTAACCATGGTAGTTATAAACTAGCCACTGGTGGCTTAGGTTATATGGGCTGCCACACCAACGGGTAGGCAGAACTGCTGCCTATCAAGTGAGGTGTCCTAGTCGATATTTCCACAGATTATTGATAACCACAGCCCCTCTGGGGCGATATGTGACTCCAAGAAGGAGCCATGAGCTGTTTATACGCGTCTTATAATACCACCCGTCAGCCGAGCCTCCTATCGTATGAGCTGGGAATCAAGTACCGCGAACACATAGAGGCGCTTATGCACCTGCACGCTGTAACGAGAGAGCACTCATCACTCCTACACGGGGACTAATTGCAACACAACTAGCAGGGAACGCGAGCAGACATCAGACACTACACTGTGCCACGGCACACACGCCCCCGCCCTCCATGTGTCGTCCGACATTACACAACTAAGCACTCAGCATCCAATCGTACGTGAATTATGAGAAGGATCATCAGTGCATCATTCTGCAATGATTGTAAAGCAGAGCTCTCACCCTTCAAAAGCGTCGGTGTCCATTTGACGGGATAGGCAAGCCCTAATTTACGGGAATTCCTTGTAGAAAAATGTCCCTTCTCCGCAAAGGGGTACTACGGCCAGTTGAGAAAGGTGGTGTAAGAACTGTGGTTCTACAGTCAGGTGGTGTACGGAATACTGCGCGACACAACGATACGTCCTCAAGTCCACCCTATAAGAGTAGGGTTCCTCCGCACTCATGTGATAGTGCAGCCATTTAGTTTACGAACTATATACTTATGCGCGTCAAAGAAAGCCGTCTTGGAGGTCGTAGCTTCATCGACACTGACGACATGAGACGACCTGAAACAATACTTCTACCCACAGCCTTGTTGCTCCCGCCTTGGATGTGGATTGCCTGAATGGTTAAAGACGCTGTTCAGCCGATAACATCGCAATGGGTCCGGGCGTTTCAGTAGGGCTGGAACGAGTCTACCCGTCGTGTTTTCACCACTGTTTGTTTTCTTCTGAGCCGCTCACTAAGCAACCACTATTGATAGAAAAGGCAGTCGGAGGCGGGCTCCTGCACACTAAGCAACCACTATTGATAGAAAAGGCAGTCGGAGGCGGGCTCCTGCACCCAGGGTACAGCATCGTGATGCGTGAAATGGTGGTGTCAGTACGACCCCCGAGGGAGGGTCTCAGTACGGCCCTTCCGCTTCCCCAACACCTACCTACCATTTTCCTACAAGTTCGAGGGGGGAGGTCGTCAGGAACCAACTACTATTTCCAAAATACGCTCCCCCCTCCTCAGCGGCCAAGTACGACCCCCATGTATTTCACGCAGCGAGGCTGCACCCTGCTTGTACCCCTCCTGTAGTCACCCTTCCTGTTTGCGACAATATGAACCATACTTACGGTAAATGTATTGCTGCCGATATCTTCCTTCGTTTTGTTCCAATTGATCATAATAAAGACCATCAGAAAAAAATCGAAAAAAACAAAAACTTGTCACCTTGCAGAGTAAGAATCACAGATCAGTTACCAAGAATTACGCTAATCATAGGAATCGGTTGCTTCAGAACCTTTTTCAAGCTACTGATCGAAAAACATTGCAGTTGACTTTCAACGCCGGCAAAACTGTTCCTGACAGTGGCAAACATTACTTTGCTGTTTATTATATCAAGGCTCCCGATGAAAAGAAGGTCGTTGTTTCAACAACATCTTCGTAAGCACTGTCACATCGAATTGACTATTGTTTTAGGCACCCCGAGCAACGTGGGCTGATCACAAAGGAGAACCAGAGGGTACAAAACGTCTTTACATCGACTTCAAAAAGGTCTTCCTTTCACAAATCTGAAGTCCGAGTGTTTCGATCACCTGTTGTGATTTAGGAGGGAGAAGAGGAGAAGAAAGAAGAAAAGAAAGACGAGGAAAAGAAGGAGGAGAAGAAGGATGAGGAGAAGAAAGAAGAGAAGAAAGATGAGGAGAAAAAGAGGAGAAGAAAGAGGAGGAAAAGAAGGAGGAGAAGAAAGATGAGGAAAAGAAGGAGGAAAAGAAAGATGAAGAGAAAAAAGAAGAGAAGAAAGATGTCAGTACTCTTACATATATCTCACATGGTCAAGCACATCATTGCCATATTGATTAACGACATTCTTTTCCTCATCTTTCTTCTCCTCCTTCTTTTCCTC